AAATTCCTTTGCCTATGTCTTCACTCTCCTGCATCAGTACGAACAACCGCGCAAGTTGCCTTTTGTTGCTTATAATTTTTGATCTGTAATTCAGACACATACATGCATATGTATATTTCACAATTTTTTACAACTTCCATTTCAATTGACTTACTTTTTATTCATTATAGTACCACTTTCTTATGTAAATTTTATAAACGCAAACTCCAACGACTAAAAAACAGCAATAGAAGAATGAGCGATTAAAAAGTATTCACAGTCGCTAATTGAGCGACTAAGCGACACTCGCAATAGCATCGCTAATCGATAATCGCTTAATAGTCGTTTATCTACTGCCAGTCGACATTCGCAATAGGGGTGTTAATTTATTTTATCAATTAAAAATTTCAAACAGGTGGCAACTTTCCACAAAAATATTTTCGGCTGTAAACCTTCTTAAACCTCTGTTATTTGACAGCCGTATTACAATGTTTGCTTTATCTTATCAATTTACTTGAACTGCAATTTTTAAACAGTTAAAAGATTTTGAAAATTTAGAGGTTTTCGGACGAAATTTATAAAAACTATTGAAATTTCTTTTTTTTACTTTGACAAATTTTCACATTTCCTTAAGTAGCTTTTAAAACTTATCCGTCCTTTAAACGCAAATTTTATTGGCAAAAATGTTATTGTAGGGCAGGTAAATTTTAAAAACCTACTTGGGAAAACGGCCCTAAGTGTATTCGAGTCTTTATTTTAGGTAATTATTGATCTTATTTTTTTTTAATTAAAAACAAAGAAAATAAGTTTTTATCAATATCCTTTAAAATAAATGAATAACCTACCACACCTGCATAAGTAAATATAACCAATAATCACCCACACACTTTTACTCGATCCATGCAAAGAAACTTTTAAAATTATTGACTCTAACGCTTCAGTAACTAAATTTTCAGCTTCCCAGTTTAGCTTGCAACCGCAATTCAAATTCGGCTCAGTGTCACAGCGGCAACCACAGCACTCATTAAAACATTTGGTTTCAAGTATGAAGAACTAACAAAGCAACCAAAGATGTCAAACAAATGTAAACAAGGGAGAAAGATAACCCCTAGACTTCAGGTTTAAGACCGACCTCTTCCGTCACTCGTGCAGCCAGTGGCGGATTTATCGTACAGGCAACATAGGCTGAAGCCTAGGGCGGCAGAATTAAGGGGCGGCAAAATTTAAGACAGCTAAATTAAAAGAAAAAAATTTATTTGGATTCAGCTGCACTTGAAATTGTGTTTGTGTCTGTAAAATATTATTAATGATTCATCTCATTCAATACAATTCAAAATTAGAATTACGCTGCGAATTTTTCCTTAGTATAGCAGTCGTTGAAATTTCCATTNGCAGCAGCTATGTATATCACATATGCTCAAGTACACAACGCCTTTTGAAGCTGAGACTGCTCGCAGTGACTTTGGCTCATCGCTCAAAGAGCATGCTCTCACTCCACTCCCTCGTCCTCGTTGTGCTATAAGAAGAGTTTATAAAATTAACATTGTCATGCGACAAGCTACTCCAAAAAGCTGCTCCCTACACTTAAGCCGTAAAACCACCTACGCCAATACAAACAACAAAACAACAACTCTATTGCAACTAACAGTCGACAAGTCAACCACCTGCCGTCAGCCGAAAAGTGACAAAGTCTGGCATATCCAACAACACTCATCAGTCCGTCCGTTTGTGCTCCCCTCGTTGGCTGCTCGCTCCATCCACAAATCCTTCTGGCTTTGAGTTTGCCGCGCTGTTGTTTTTGCCAATGTTGTTGTTGTTGTTGACATTGTTGGCATTTGTCGTTACAAACTTAATTAATGTTATGCTTCTAAGCACTTGACTTATACTGAAACAACAGCAACAACAACAGCGAAAACAATAAGAAAAATAACATCGTGAACGTCAGCAGGCAGTGTCATTGTATGCATTTTACCTGTCACCCAGTTGACAGTTGGTGAGTGTAAACGAGCTTATGCGTGCGGCATTCTCGATCTCCCTTTGGTATGCGAATTTTTGCACTTCTCGCTACTCTGCTTGCTGTCAAATTCAGCTGACGTTTGGTGTTTTTACGACGCTCGTTGTCAACTCGTTTGCCGTTTAAACTGCCGATTGTTGCTGCTATTGTTCAGCATGCGTTTGCATGTGATTTTATGCAACATGGATGTGCGTATGTACTTACATATGTGTTTATGAGGAACGCCGGTGCGTCAGTTGGCAATGTCATGCTTGGAGCACTGCTCTTTGTCCTCCTCGTTGACCTTTTCTACTCGCTTGTTAGTCCCGCCAACTGAAATCACTTCATACTCATATTTGGTAGTTTTATATTTTGTTTGCTCTCATGGCATCACTGTTCGTTGGCTGTAGAATTATTGTTCTCCTCAGCGCTATGTATACAAACATACATACATATGTACATATTTATATACATACGAACGCATGTATGTAGGTATTTTGTGTTAATCTATCCTAAACCCGAGTGAAAATTGCAGCGCCAGCATCCTGCTTGTACTCCTTCGCAGCTGTCCTCGTCCTCTAAAGACTGTTGTATTGCATCAGCTGCTGCTACTGCGAATATAATTTGATTTGCCATCGCAAATTAGTGTCAACAATGGCGTATCAATCACAAAATGTCTGGATCACGACTAAATGTTGCTTAATGACTTGGTGAGAATCCTAGTGGGAGGGATTGCTGACTACTCTAATTCACGAAAACTACTTTATTCTGAGAGCAATTGAAGAAAAATTACGCCAAAAATATTATAGATATATAATCGAGAAAGCCTCCTTTAATAACGTAATTTTAAACGGTCATTCGAAATTTGGTATTTTTGTATTAGATATATAAACCATAACACCAATTGTTCTGTTACTTAAATTTCATTTGATCTGCACATCTCTTAAACTATCACCTCATTACTCCTATAACAAAGTAAACTATATTCATAACCCTTCACATGCCCACCAAATTCCTTCGACTCACCTCGGTATCACTCTTCCAGCATAGCTTATTTGAGAAGTTTTGCTTGTTTAGCCTCTTAATTTGTACAACTCCAGTTCTATTTGCCTTTTTATCTTGTCTTAATATAGATGTTGCAATTGCATTTTCCTTCTAAGTTTACTTGCTTCAGCATTTATTCACCGCTCGCTAGAATTTGTTGCACACACAATTTTATTGCCTGTTTTCAGGCGCTTTACCATGAAGTTGAAGTTGGTGTAATAATTTACTTAGCGCTAGTTTTTCGTTTTGCGTGCTGGCAAATTACATAAATGAGGCCAGGTTAGAAAGTTGGCGAAGAAAGTGCCAGAATAGAGTGAAAGAGGCTATGCGTATGCAGTCAGAAGAGATAAGACAACTAAAATAGCAACTTAAGCGTATTTGATTTGCAGGTAAAGATAACAAGAAAATGTTTTATTTTTTTTTTTTGCAGTTTTTAATTATGCTGATTGGCGGGTTGTTGGTTGGGGAAATTAAGACGATTTGTGTTTTTCATTGAAAATATTTAGCATTACTTTAATAACAAGCATATAAATATTAAATATAATAAAGAGACTGCAGTCATCAAAAATACCAAATAAAATCTTTTCTTTTCAGATTCGACTAAATTGACGTGTGTGTGGTACCTAAAATATTTATTGTGAACAGTAAGTTTGTTTTTCGTCGTACTTCTGCCTCTGCAAATGCAAAACTAAATACTGAATAGTGAGCGCAAAAAACTTTCTTTATTGATGTACTAAACAGTCAACAGATAAAACTATGAATTACCAAAAAGGTAAGTCTACTTCTACATATTATATTAAAAAACTGAAAATGTCGTACCGTGTAGTGCCCAGATTTGCCTATTGAACCCCTTCGGCTTTCGTCAATTCTTTGGACCTCTCGGTCGTCAAGGGTTAAATATTATTTTTTACAAATTTGTGGGCATGCCAATCAAAAGCAAAACAGGCATTTCGACCGCAGTGCGATGCTAGACCAGCAAATTGAACTTCTTAAAGTGTGCTATCTGAGGTACCTTAGTTTCATTTAGCATTTTCGTAATTCTAGACCGCACTTTTGCAATTCTCAAATGGCATATGAAGTACTTGGTTGTAGTTGCTATTTGCAGACTTCCTCAATTATTTTATATTGATGAGCGAGCCAAGCTCTCCCTGTTCGCCAATGATCTCAAGTCACATCTGTCTTCTGGATATTCCTGACAAACAATAAAGCGTACCTGAATAATATTTATCTTACCAAGAAAAATTCAAAATTTTTCCTCGGTTTATCTATTTTCTTAATATAATCCTATAACTAAGCTTTGAAAGGAATCAGCGGAAGCAATGTCTTAAGTGCGATTCTTTTACAAGAGTTTTCAACTGCAAAGGCTCTGTCATTTTAAGCTTTCTAGGCATTTTAATAAGTACTTAGTTACAGCTGCAAAAAGCTGCGGAGGTGTCGTGCCGTTGGCTGGCTCCAATCTACACGAACTGCGTACGATACGGGTATATTCCCAAGGGTTTCAGGGTCGTCAAGGTGATGTTCATCCCGAAGGCAGGAAGGAACTCTCATGTTGCCCCCAAGCACTTCAGGCCAATCAGTCTCTCATCGTTTTTACGGAACACTTTGGAGAGGCTGGTTGACATGCACATAAGGAGCGGGATTCCTCGAGATCGCCTATCAAGAAATCAGCATGCTCATTGTAATATTCTAAATTAACAGAAAATGTGCTCAAAGCATCATAAATTCCCGATTAAGGGCTCGTCTGATTTTTTGCATATTCTTGTAAGCTCAAAAGTTTAATTCAAGGTTTCTAAACTCACTTTTAATTAAAAAGAGAGTATTTTGGGAGCGCTTATTGCATACTCGCTAACTGCCAGAAATTATACTGTAGCTACTTGCATAAAAATGGAAAAAGACGCTACTGCATACGAATAAAAATTATAGGATTTCCGCTTTCAAATGCTGAACCCCCTACACTTTTATTTTTTGCTTTTTTTTTGCTGCCAACACCTCGTTAATTGCTAAAAATTTTTTGTTAATTTAATAACTGACCTCCTGTAAACGTCGTTTACCCACTTTTACGCTTCTATTTCTAAACGAACCGAAAATTACGCTTTTTTTTCCACATTTGCAAAAACTTACTCTACTGTAAGGGATTTATATTTGTTGTTAAATTATAGGTTTAAACAAAAACTTTATATTTTATTCCCACAAAAATAGCACATATCCCCAAAAACTTGTTTGTAACTGCGGTACCTTCGGCTTGAAATTATTACACTATAGTAAAAAAACCTACACTGAATACGCAGCTGCCTATTAAAAAGGCTGCGTCCAAAAAAGTGAGCAACTCTTGAAAAAAAAAACGTTCGGTTGTGCACTTGTAGTTCACATCCACAATTTGTCTGTTTGTTTAACCCCCCCATTTGGAAACCTTGAACCGTAAAAATATTATTTTACACGAAAAACATAAACTTGTGCGCAAATGGGCGAGTCAATGCAAAATCATAAATAAACAAGTGGCGGAAATTTTAAAAAGTATAAAAATTAATACACGTACGGCTACATATGCGTATGTATGTATGTATGTATGTATGTATTCGCATATGAGCGCATAAATACAATAACGTGTAATATTCGAGAGTAGCGCAGCGCCGGAAATGGCACAAAAAATAAATGCAGTTGTGCGACAAAACGCAATCTGTTCACCAGCAGTGACTTTTGCACAATTTTTTCACACTTACGCCATTTTTTGCGCTCATTTCACTTACAACATTGTGCACATATGTATGTATGTATGCACCTGACCTGAACTTGTAGCTGGCACTGGCTATGGGTTTGCAGTTGGCCACTTATATTGACATATTAATTCGTTACGCCATATTGGCCATCAGCCGCTATTGACTATTGTTGTTTTTGTGTTTTTCTTATTTGCCACTACATATTCCCTCTACTAATTGTAATTGTTGTTGTCATGGCATCATGTTGCATTTCAGTGATTTAACATGCGATTTCGCCTCATCGAAAAGCACTTTTGGGGCAGTGGCGAAGTGTGAGTGACGTGGGAAGCTGACATTTTTTCACTGCTCTATTTACAGTTGCAGTCAAATGTGACAGACTGTAAATTGACCAGTTGTTGGTGGACGGAAAATATTAAAATATAATGTAAATAATAAAAATTGACATAAAAGTATTTTGTTTGAATTAAATCCTGTAGAAAAAGTTTCGCGCTAGCTTGAGTTGAATTGATCGGGAAGTAATGCTGAAAAATTTAATGAATGCTGCTAAAGTTAAAGTTGAAGGGGATAAAATTTTTTTAAATTTTTGAAGTCAGCTTATACATTTCTAAACCACATATGCTGCAGAATCGTAACGAAAAATATGACGCTTTCGATGCAGATCTCTTTCGTGTAGATCTCTTTTGCTTCTATTTCAGCAAAAGGTGCTCAATAACTTTATTTGTCTTCCACCGGTGTAAAATAAGAATGGAGATATGGATTTGTCCCAGTCTCTAGTTATGTGCCCCTGCACGGTCTGCAAAGGGAGGCGGAGCCAAAAAGGCCGCATGTGCTTTCCAATCTAATGTTTCATAGCGAGTCAAAACCACTTTTTAAAGAGGCCAGTGAGGTTTTAGACATGGAGCAATGGATGTGGAATGCGGCGGTAGAACCGTTTCACGACATTAGGGTCTAGGTAACCAGAGTTATTTAACATCATTTTACAACTTTCGCAAGTCGTTTTATACATTTGGAGTACATCATTATTCTTCAGGACGCAAAGGCTTGGTATTCGGGATGTGAACGCATCTAACAAAATTAATAGAAAATAAATGAATGAAAATACAAAGAAGGCACATTGAACCCAGTTAAGGGCCGACGTTTGGAATGCTCGTTAGTAAAAAGTGCCGAAATAAAAGTATATGAGTTTAAAACTTTCCAAAGCCATGCCTTTCCTAGAAAAGTTGTAAAGTCGACGTACGTAGTGAATCCATTCTCGATATAGAAAATGCCGTTCAAGCCTAGAAACGGCAAGAAATCAATAAACGTATTCTTTAAAAACTTAGAAGACGGTTTGGTCCGAACAAGGAAAAAAGAAGCCACGAAGGAATCTGCGTGTGAACTAGAAGAGTGGAGAAGTGTTTGAAGAAAAAATAAAGTAATCTAAGCAGGCCTATGTATTAATAACCAGTTACGTTTGTTGTGCCTAAAAGCATGCACTATAAAATCGAATCAAATACGAAGAATACAGATGCACTTCTCAAATGTCACATAGCACGACTCATTCAAGTAATAAGTTGTTGGCGTCCTAAATTATGCTTAGCTGGTGAATGGGAAAAAATATATAAAGTAGTGAGTAGACACTGTGACCCATGGTAATCAACTATTACCACCCATGCATAATTGTAAGCTATATCCGGAAACATTGTCCGAAGAATGCATCAGACAAGGCCTAGCATACTTTGACGTGCTATCAAATCATAATTTAAGAACATTTTATTACTTGGCAGTTGAGAAGTGCATGTGCAAAAAATTTCATAAATTTAATGAAGGAGTTTTTTCTCATACAACGGAACATAGCATGCAGTTAGGCGCTTGGTGTTAGTAGTCGCACCTAAATATAATGAAAAAAAGAGTCTTAAAAACGCTTACTAGCGGTATATAAGCGTTATTATTAGTCAAATAAATCGCAGCCTAGGCTTATCATCTTAGTTGGAAAAGCTTTCCTTCTGAGACTTGATGTGTTTCTGTGCGCTGTGGTAAAATAAAAGCTTCAGTAGAATTTGAACTCTCTGAAATCTATGATTTTTTTATCTTTCTTTTATTAGCTTGGGAAGTAATTATGTAAAATTGATGCGCCTAAAAGATGCAGCGATTTCCGTTCTCAACCATACATACCTGATCACAGAACGAATGGGATTTCTTTAAATTTCCATTCTTAAAGTAACCTGATGACAGTACAAATGTAAATTATAAAAGCGAGTTTTTAGTTTTTTAAACTACATTCTTTTTGCATCTACTTACTTTAGTTTCCTGAACGTAGTCCGAGCAAAAAAATATTCAGTACATCAATTTTAAATTTACTCTGCTGTGCTTTAAACCCATACACGCAGTCTAAAGTTCTCGTTTGCTTGCCAAACAAAATATTTATTTTTAGCATTCCGCACACATACTTATATGACTGCAAATCATTTCAAATTAATTTAATTCAATCAAGTTTCGGAAAAAAATGTAGTGAAGAGGAATTTGGCTTTTGTTTGTTCGTAGTTGTTGTCAGCGCTTTTGCAACATTGCGGAATTTCTCTCTATGACAGTTTTTGTCATAACATCCAAATGCATGCAATTCTCGTTGAGCCTACGTGATGTGGGCTAGCAAAAAGCAAGCGAAAAATTCAAAAAAAAAAAACAAAAACAAAAGAGAAAATCTTTGTTCATAGTCAAAGCTCTTCTCACGTTGTTGATTTCGCTTTTCATTGCCATTCCTTTTTCAAGTTTTTTCTCCTCTTTTATATTTTCCGGTTGGCAGTGAAATTGAATATTTGCCAGATTTGCTGCGGAGGCTATCAGATATACATATATATGTATGTACATGTAAACTATAAATATGTGTATACCAGACAAGTTCTATAAAATTCTGAGAAATGCTTGTAGAATCGTTGCGTCGAGACCATGACTAGACAATTTAATTAAGGCGAGTGTCGGTTCTCTGGTTATGTAGTTTACGCGAAGATCAAGGCTTGTTTGTTGTTAATTTTTCTATGGCTTCGGTAATCTTTGATCAAAGAATTTAAGCGAAATC